TCTGTTGTCCAATGGTTACTTAAAGAGCCACAAGTTTATTTTTTCAGCCTTTGTTTTTTCAACAATCATGGTACTTGGAATTCGAAAATTTTGCACGAATCTTAATACTAGTGTCAATATCTTATGACAAAATATCTGATTTCCAGTGTAAAACTACAAAATGGTGGCTCCATGAGAAACCATTGATTTGAATGTGATATTTTAATTTGTTATGGACCCAGAATACATGTAAAGATGAACAACAAGATAAAGAAAAAATATTAAACACTGTCCCGTATGAAAAATAAGAGTCGAACCTCGCATTCTGTCGATAAAGGGCCTTCGCCTTGCAGAACAATGGAAGATAAAGGTGAAACACCAGGAAGGTTACCGCTCGCTGCTGCCAAGGTGTCGGGTTGTCGTCTGCCAAGAGGTGGACCCGTCTGTCAAGGTGATACGGGTGGATTTGACACATGCTTGTCGTTTCATCAATTTTCGTGGTACCAACTTTGTTTACTTTCATTAGTTGATATATGAATAGCCTGAATGAAAATGTTTTTGCTACACTAAAAAGTTGTTGGTTTTTGCACTCTTTGTGGAAGTTTACAGAAAGGGACTGGTAAAGGCAGCTGGAGGATAGTTAAGTCAGATGGAGTACAGTAAAATCAGCTGGAGTACGGTAAAGTTAGCTCGAGTACGGTAAAGTCTGCTGGAGCACGGTAAAGTTAGCTGGAGTATAGTTAAGTCAGATGGAGTACAGTGAAATCAGCTGGACTACGGTAAAGTTAGCTGGAGTACGGTAAAGTCAGCTGGAGTACGGTAAAGTCAGCTAGAGTATGGTAATTTTTAGCTGGAGTAGGGTAAAGTCAGCCGGAGTACGGTAAATTTAGCTGGTATAGTTAAGTCAGATGGAGTACAGTAAAATAAGCTGGAGTACGGTAAAGTCAGCTGGAGTACGGTAAAGTCAGCTGGAGTACGGTAAAGTAAGCTGGAGTATGGTAATTTTTAGCTGGAGTAGGGTAAAATCAGCGTGAGTACGGTAAAGTTAGCTGGAGTACGGTAAAGTTAGTTGGAGTACGGTAAAGTCAGCTGGAGAACGGTAAAGTCAGCTGGAGAACGGTAAAGTCAGCTGGAGTACGGTAATTTTTAGCTGGAGTAGGGTAATGTCAGCTGGAGTACGCTAAATTTACCGACCACTCACATGCACATGCCACTTTTTCAAAGATAAGTATTACAAGTTTCTCAAGTAGGTTCTCAATGAATGTATGTTGAATGAGTGTACCATAATGGATCCGTCACTGAAGAATACCATCTGAAATAAAGAGTCAGAAAACGTTTGAAAAGTGATCATTGACAGCTACGCTCAATGTTCAAAATATTAAAGATCGGACCGTGGCCAACGAATCTTTGAGAAGAGCAGAAAACTAATCAGATGTTCTGCCAAAGTTTCGGTCGTGTTGACGTTGTTGACAAGCTCAAAATCTGCGTCACAACTGAAGATGGTACGACGGGAATGCCAATTAAATTGTTTGTGACAAGTCACAACTAATGTTGTGTGAGGCGTCAACAGCTGCATGGACCACAATTTGGCGAACCTATGTTGGTCACTGAGCATGAAATATGTGAACTTGGAACCAGGAAAATCTTAAATATACTGGATGTTTTATTTTCATTGCCTGTTGGTAGAGGTAAGACGGAAATTTCGACATCAAGACAGAAAAGTATTTTTATCCCTGGATTTTCAGGATGGGAAACATTTTATAATAGGTCTAAGTCCCAAAGAGTTTAGACTGTATTAGTAAACTAAATTTTAATGAGGATATCCTGCTTTCAAATGTGATTTTGGTACAAACAGGTTGCATATTTTAGTATGAAAAAGTGTTCAAAACTTATTTACTAGAAGTATATAGTAACCAAACCATACAAATAAGTTTTTTTATTTAAATATATTATAATCTTGTGCAGATCCTAGTGAACCATAGACTAACCCAAGGAGGTATGTTTAATTTATGTCATAACTAAAAAAATGTACGTCACACTTCTTAACATTGTTGAAGGTAGATGTTAACACACTGGTTGAAATATTTTGCCTAATTTTGCTTTCCCATTTAAATTCCGTCTTTTAACTTTGTCTGCATGCTAAACTGTTACTTGCTTCAACCTTATCTAAGATTAAAGTCTGTTGAAAAACACAGCTGACTGCATCATATTCAAAATGACACATTGAACCTGTCACAAAATCGTTTGAAATCCTTCCTGATCCGAATCTTTGACTCCAGGACGTGAAGTATTCGGAGATCAAGGCTATCCTGGAGTACATGTACCGAGGGGAGGTGAACGTCGGGCAGGATCAGTTGGCGCCCCTGCTCAAGGGGGCGGAAGCGCTGAAGGTGAAAGGGTAGATGGAAGAGAACGGAGCCAAACCGCCAGTTGAAGAAGATCCCAACATGATCACCACATCTTCCCCCTCCAATGCCACATAGTAGCAGCGTGAACGACTCTTCCCCACCTCACTCTACAGGTGAGTCGAGCTACATCAACTTGAATTTATATTTGAGATTAATAATGTAATGAATATCCTACGTGTACAAGGACCTACAGTTTAAGGTATTTTTGTAAGGATAGTAGGCTTTGAATGCTAACGAGTCTTCTCTGGGAGAAACACTAAAATAATTTATTCTAGACAACAGAAAATTTCACTGTCACCGACTGAAGGGCTCTTTAGAACGTCCTGAGAACGAAAAAGAACGTTCTTTTTCCAGCTCAAATCTTCTTTTGCAATTCTTTTCGCATTCAAAGCCTGCTATCCTTACAAAAATACCTTAAACTGTAGGTCCTTGTACACGTAGGATTTTACATTATTAATCTCAAATATAAATTCAAGTTGATGTAGCTCGACTCACCTGTAGAGTGAGGTGGGGAAGAGTCGTTCACGCTGCTACTATGTGGCATCGGAGGAGGAGCCGCGGGGGAAGATGTGGTGATCATGTTGGGATCTTCTTCAACTGGCAGTTTGGCTCCGTTCTCTTCCACCAACCCTTTCACCTTCAGCGCTTCCGCCACCTTGAGCAGGGGCGCCAACTGATCCTGTCCGACGTTCACCTCCCCTCGGTACATGTACTCCAGGATAGCCTTGATCTCCGAATACTTCACGTCCTGGAGTCAAAGATTCGGATCAGGAAGGATTTCAAACGATTTTGTGACAGGTTCAATGTGTCATTTTGAATATTATGCAGTCAGCTGTGTTTTTCAACAGACTTTAATCTTAGAAAAGGTTGAAGCAAGTAACAGTTTAGCATGCAGACAAAGTTAAAAGACGGAATTTAAAAAATAACGTTAGGCCAATTATTGAGGCCTATCTCCCGCGATCGTGGCGAAATCCTAAACATCTTTTGTAAGAAATTGTAGGTTCTACGAGAAAAACAAACAAAAAACTACGTCTATGAGAGATGTTAGTAACTTTTTAATGGTTATAAACTTGACCCAGCTGTTCTTGATCGTTTTGCTTTATAAATGGATCAGCTGATCAGCTGGTCTTGCCAGGCTATCATACCACTTATTCACCACTACCTAACCTAGTGTAACGGTGTATGCGAATTTCTTATCTTTAACCTCTCAATGCAAAACTATTGTTGTTGACCAGCAATTTATCGACAAATAATTATACATTCAGAAAGCTATGTGTCTAGGGTAAAATTGAGTATCAAACCACAAGCTTACAGAAGAAGCCAAGAATCAGCAAATTTACAATAATTAGAATAGTTTGGAGGGGAAATCTTGTAGTCTTGTTGAGAAAAAAAGGTTTAGGAGAAACAGCTGTTTTCTGTGAATAGCGTTTTTGGTTATTTTAATATTTTCTTAGTCCAGCTGATCGATTTATTGTTTAATCTGATTTTCACATAAATGTGTCTTCTATATTTTCTTCATAACCTCCTATTGGTCATGTAGATTTTCGGGTTGGCAATATTTTTCTACTGCTTGAGATATTTTTCAAAAACAATATTTTACGTGCAGTACTCATGAAAATAATGTGGATAATACAAGGTGATTAAGAGACTTCAGTACCAACACCACGGTACGTCGTAAAGGCAGCAGACCGAAAACTGGGTCAACTTCACAGCAAAACACCAGATGCGCCAAAATGATTAACCTTGGAGGAAATAGTGTGAAGTCAAATATATCATCTTTGGATCCTTTGATGTTTCGAATGATCATTTTGAGCCCAATAGAATTTCAGCTATTAACTTTTAAACTGGTAAAACAAAACGTCAATTGAAAATGCATTGAAAAGCCAGTTTACTATTTTTTACTAGTTTTTTTAAAAGTATTTGAAATTAGGACATTTATAGGATCAAATAAGATCGTTTTTAAAAACATCTTCAAGTTCCAAAATCTACTGTAGGATTAATGTTAAATTTTAAGTTCAAATTTTGCATTTAAAACTGGTCAGGTTGGTCAAGAGGAGTTCGGGACTTTGCTTTTGAAAATCTGGGTTTAAGTTTCGACAATCGCCAATGACGATTCGATCATGACTTGATCGGATGTTTTACATTCCAGTTTCATGTTTCACCATCAATTTGAAAAACACAAACTATTTTACCCCTTTTTAAAGATCACCTACTCAATAACCATACGATAATTTATTAGACTAATTGTGGTATAATAATTCAATATAAATACACAAAAATAACTCAATAATCTACAATTTTATAATGTTGAGTTCTCGTCGCTTTATTGAATTTCCACTTGTTTTGTATTTTTGCGTCGGCGAGCGTTGATTCTTTTAGAACTTTCCTTGTTTACTATATTTCAACACACGGAGCCTAAAATATCTTTTGGTACATTGGCACTCGTATTGGCCTGTTGACTTGTTGGCCTGTAGGACTGTTGGTCTGATGACGTGTTGGCCTGTAGGACTGTTGGTCTGATGACGTGTTGGCCTGCAGGACTGTTGGTCTGATGACGTTTTGGCCTCCTTGTTTACTATGTTTCAACACACGGAGCCTATAAAATATCCTTTGTTACATTGACACACGTGTCGGCCTGTTGACTTGTTGGCCTGTAGGACTGTTGGTCTGATGACGTGTTGGCCTGTAGGACTGTTGGCCTATTGACGTGTTGGCTTGTTGGTCTGTAGGACTGTTGGTCTGATGACGTGTTGGCCTGTAGGACTGTTGGTCTGATGACGTATTGGCCTGTAGGACTGTTGGCCTATTGACGTGTTGGCTTGTTGGTCTGTAGGACTGTTGGTCTGATGACGTGTTGGCCTGTAGGACTGTTGGCCTATTAACGTGTTGGCTTGTTGGTCTGTAGGACTGTTGGTCTGATGACGTGTTGGCCTGTAGGACTGTTGGTCTGATGACGTATTGGCCTGTAGGACTGTTGGTCTGATGACGTATTGGCCTGTAGGACTGTTGGCCTATTGAAGTGTTGGCTTGTTGGTCTACCAGTAAACAGTTGGCCCTGTGTTTACCGGAACTCGTGGGAGTTGTTGATGAATGAACAGTGAACAAAACAGTTTTGGCACAACAAGAATGGCACAAATAGTCCGAAGTTACCACATCTACCAAGAGTTCACATTGTGAAAGTAAATTTTGAGAAATATCAGTATGTGAGTTATAAGTATAACTTTAAACTATTTTCCGCAGGCCTGCTTGTTAAATAAAATTTTATAGTGTAAAAAATACCTGTAATGCATTAAACACGTTCATCAGCGTATAAAAGGACGAATTATATGAAATAAATCACATATTGATAACTAACTTTGGTTACTTATATCATAGATAACACATACTCCCTTAGTAGATTTCCCATCCTTATGGATCAGCGGAAGCCAATTTTATCGTTAGTTCTGTCCGGTGCAGTGTAGAGGTCGTGTTTTGTTTACAATTTGTTTCGTGTTATTTCAGTCATTTAAAATCTCGTTTAGACAAGACTTCGTTAAAATACTTCCTTCTCAAGAGGCCTTACTATTCTGTGGAAGAATTTTTCAATGACTAGGCCATCAACAAACTGACGACCACGGCACATCAGTGCTTCCAGTGGGAGACTTTCAAGTATCAAGTAAGTATCAAGTATCAAGACAAATAAAACTATCTAATCGTAAACAATAACTCGTCCCGTAGTTAAATAACCAAACAGTAAAGCACAAATCATGAAATTAACCCTAAAATAATCGAAACAAATTGAAACAAATTTTTCAACGCTGGTGATTAATGACACTGGACATTAACTAAAAAACAAGCTTGAAAGTTTAAAATGGGACGAGAAGTCTTACTTACTTGTGGTGGTTTGTCTATGCTTATATCACTCAATTAGATAGAAAGTATAACTGACAAAATACATACATATTAATAAAAACAAATTAAACAATATTTATTAGAAACCAATACACAAATATAAATTACGTATTATTTATAGTGAATCACAATGGACTAGATTCATGATGATTAATATCATTGCAAGTGATATAAATTGATAACCCAGTAATCAATATATTGCAACCGGCTAAATTTGCGTATGCAGTTGAAAAGCTAGTCATTTTCCACACTCATCAAAAGTCTTAGCACAATTACGAATTACATCGTCCTAATGAGGTAATTTTCGTCCACAGACCTTCTTAAATTTCGTCCGATCAAAACAAGCCCATTCTACGATTTAACCACACAAATCGAAGTTTGTTTAAAGTTCTTCCTACAATCGCATCGTCACAATACAGTTTCAGTCGCTTTTGTTTATACTTTTGAATTTTAACTAAATTTTGTTTAAATTATTAATTTATTTTTTAGTGCAAAATCGCCATTTTTACAATAAATTACATGAATATATAATTGTGTGAAACTCCATATAAAAAATCTGATTTTAGAGAAAAAGCTGGTTTTTGTTTAAATGAATTTGTTATGTTCCTTATAATTCTAAAGAAATAGTGCAACCCCCAATCGCTGTAGCAATTACGGTTCAAAAGTTATTGCAACTTTTGACATTCTCCCTATACAATATCATAGTTAGGCCTACTCCCACCGCTTACCCATGATAGTTGTTCACAAGCTAATGGGAGAAAGCATATGTCAGATTGCTGACACCGTTTATCCGTTTATTTAAATTATTTATTTATTATTTACTGCAAAGTCGTCATTTTTACAACCAATTACATGCATTAAAATGTGTGTATGATATAAATACTATAGTAACTTTTACATTGTGCTATTATTGTGTACAATATTGCACGGGACAATTCGATGGCTCATATGACCATTACTAGCTATTTTACCACACGATTAATTATATTTACCTTTTATTTCAATGTTATCAATAGCGATTGTTAGATGCACTCGTGATCGCGGTATTATGAAGGCTGGGATAGTGAAATAGCTTAGCTCTGAATCTGTTGGACTGACGGACTATTTGGAAACGATGATGATTTAAAATCCAATGATCACAGAAAGAAAGAAATTGGTGAAACTGACCAAATTGCCGATTTTAATGAACACGTAACACAATATAGTCCTATTATCAAACCTTTATACCCTATGACTACTGTAAGTTATCATTACGAAACTGAAAACTAAATGTAAACCAGAATGAAATGCTCGTGGCCGAGGTACCTTTATGCAAACTGTTTGATGACTGAGAAATATATTCCCACTATTTAAAACACAGCACTTAGAACTTAGAGTGAAAATGCAACCTTATAGGTATAATCTTGATATGTAAGAATTTGACTCACACGGCTCCAAGATTGGACTCCTCCTGCGTCGACGCCTCAACTGAGGACGGTTTTAGCAACGTCTCGACGCTCGGCCACCTCCACGCTACGTCACAACGTCGCAGCCAACATAGATGACGTCATGTCCATGGTGTCATCGGCAGTATGCCTTAGTGTACAGAGTTCATTGCTCCAATGTAAATGCGCGTTGCGTTTACGGGAAAGTATATAAAGAATGTTTTTCATGGGCTAGAGGGGTTCGAATCCCTACCTTCCTTCCCGGACGGGTGACGGATATATCCACCTAAGTCTTTGGCGATAAAGGACGGGTGGCGGATATATCCGCTTATGGTTTTTGATGTTCCGGACGGGAAGCGGATATATCCGCCTTCTTCAGACAGACTGGTAGGTGCTTGAGCAGTAACCAGATGTGGGATAAATTTCCGGCGACCCTTTCGCGGTACAAAGGTGCCACTTTCCTGCTCTCTTCATGGCTGCGCTCAATCCCGGCACTCCTCCCTCTCTCAGCGCCTACCCCTCTCCCGCGCCTTACCCTCTACCGCACACCCCCAACCTCTACTACGACGTCTCGCGCTCAACACTACGTTGTCTTTATTATTTACATATTGTTCTTTATTTATTGCCTAACGTTGTCATGGTCATATTTTTAAAGACGGGTGGCGGATATATCCGCTGCTTTTATACTCATACGCGGACGGGTAGCGGATATATCCGCATATTTAAAAACGAGTAAAAGATTATTTTTACAGTATGGAGTGTTCCAGTGTGATAATTTTATGAATAAGTGTATAACAAAACACAAATAAGGAAAATTAATTTATTTTCCTATAATTTTTTCCCCGTTCTGTGTCACGATTTCGCCCGTCCGGGAAGGGTTTAGACCCCACGCTGGCCATAGTTTTTTTGTACTTGCGTATTATACCGACCACACCTAATATTTATAACCTAAGTGTTGTTAAGTTAGGTTAGGAAGACTTTGTTATTGAAACTAATGAATATTATTTGGAAGTCGATTTATCAATTTGGTCAGTATAATACGTAAGCACTCATTATATTAGATTGTGCAGAAAAAACATCAAAGCTAATAACTCATACATAAGAGTCATGAAAATTAATAATTTTAAAGCTTAAGATCCAAGGCCGATGGGAAAAATTTTGTCAAAAATTTCCCGTGCTCAGTCTCACATGCCGTCAAAAATCCAGTCCTATTTTAATGGAAATACTGATACAGTGTTTCTAAGGCTGTTTTAGATATTGCTGATGTAAACATTGCGTATTTGTTTGTTTATTGATTTTAGTGTTTTTATTTTTAGGTTAGAATGGTAGGCCAGGCCTAATGCAGTGTTGAAATGTATCGCTAGGGGGAAAACCGCGACTACGAAGGAGTATTTGGTTCACAGCCTTTGGAGCGAATATTCTAAGCAAATTATGTCGTCAAAGATTTGTATTATTTTTCTTTGAAAGGAAAGGTAATATAAAGAGGAAAGAAAATTTCGAGCCATACTTTTAGAATTTAAGTTTTAAATATCCCCGCCGCAGCAAACCTGCAGACTAAGCGAATTTCAACTTGTCTGATTACATTTTTACTCAAATATTTCCATAAATAAGACATATTTATTCCCTATTTAAATAACATTAGATTTAACAAGTGCTTAGGTTTGCTGCTACGGGGAAGGTAAAAAGTGTTTTTGACCATATGTGAATAGTATGGGATGAAATAAATAAATTTGCCAAATTTTATCAATATATATCCATAAACAAGTAAACTACAACAATTTGTATTTTCTCCATAAGAATAACATGGGAATTTTCATTTAAACTATTTTTGAATTTTCTCCGTGACCGTTAGGCATACAACAGCGCTTCAATATACTAAATTATTTCTATTTTTAAGCTCTACAAAACGGTTTAGAAAGAAATTGCAAAATTTTTTGTTTTTAGGGTGTGAGGTTAAAATTACCGGGGTGTCGAAAAACGTACCTCACAAATAAAGTTTGCCGGATGAAACAGTCGAAGCGTGGGTAATTTCGTCGGTAAGATTCGATTTGTACGTAAATACTAAGTCTAAGCTCAGAAACGAGTGTGAGTCAAGCAAAAGCTTACTCCAATACAACTCTTTTCATCACAGCTATCACAGACCTAGTAATCGATCGGAAATAAATTTTGGTCCTTAGAGCCGGATAATGCCTCGATGGCCAAAAGTCGTCGTAGGGTAAAATATGGACGCGGGCCGAAATCCCTAACGCCTATTCTAACCCCGAGCGGTGCAATATATAACTATTGCACACGCAACCTAACCGTACGGTGCAATATATACTATTGCACACGTTTTCCTACCGCTCGCTTAAATTAGTGCCCCGATGGCCGAATATCGTCGTTGGGTAAAATATGGACGCGGGCCGAAATCCCTAACGCCGATTCTAACCCCGAGCGGTGCAATATATAACTATTGCACACGCAACCTAACCGTACGGTGCAATATATACTATTGCACACGTTTCCCTACCGTTCGCTTAAATTAGTGCCCTGATGGCCGAATATCGTCGTTGGGTAAAATAAACGCGGGCCGAAATCCCTAACGCCTATTCTGAACCCCGTGCGGTGCAATATATCACTATTGCACGCGTTTCCCTACCGTTCGCTTTAATATCGTACTGTGCAATATTTACTATTGCACACGTTTCCCTAAACTTACCTTACTCCGTGTTAGCGGTGCAGCATGTACTGTTGCACTCGCCTAACCCACACCGTACGAGTGCCTTTATATACGCCAGAGCCTTTATATACGCTCCTGTGACGGTAGGAATTTTCCAGATATCAGTGCAAAGGTCGCGAGTGCAGGTTGCAACGCGCTTGGACGGGTAACTCGACGGTGCGTGCTCGTCCGCGCCTTATCGCTCCTAACAACTGATACGACCCGTCGACAACAAAGTTCGTCTCGGCTTTAAACATAAAATATTCTTTTAATTTAAATTAAGCATTTATACTCGACGAAATAATAAATATACCTTCAGGTTCAAATTATATTTATATTTACAAAAATAAAAACTATTTTCTTAAGTAGAATAACATTTCCTTCTAAATAAAATAAAATCGTCTTCTAAATAAAATAAAATCGTCTTTCGAATTAAAATAACGTCCTTCTAAAAATAAAACCCTTACAAGGGTAAAAAATGGAAAAAACACATTTTTACCCCATAAAACCCCCCATAAACCCCTGTTCCCATGGTCCGATTATGCTGGATCGCGAACTCGTTTGAATAAACGTAGGTTTACACGTTTGTACCAAATTTCATCAAAATCGGATCATTTTTGCTCGAGTTATCGCGCTAACGGACACACACACACATATATATATATATGAATTTGAACGGATGGTGTTTTTGGCCTCTAGGGACCTCAAAATGAAAAAAAAATCGGTCCTGCATCCAGGTCTTACCATGAGTACTACGGTAATAGCTTATTCCCTATATGGGAAATTCGCTAAAACAATTAGTTTTGAAAAGATTTAGCAGCCGACGCCAATATTAAAAACATGTTGTGGTAGTAACCTTTACTTTAACCTTAGACTATTGATAAAACTATACATTCCATTCCTATGTTAAAGCTGTTGCCAGTTTACAAAATAATTTCTGTCGAGTACAAAAACTATTTTACCAACTCAAAGTAATTGAATAACTTTATTGTGAGCTATAGCTACTGACTGTTAAAAGGTAGTAAATAGAATTTTATAAACTAGCATATTCCGTGACAGACTCACACAAAACTATGTTATTAAAAAAAAAAAAATTGCGAAAGATGTTACATAATATAGATGGCAATGTCTACTTCAGTATCTAATAGTCTAAACTGCTGCAATAATTAGTCAATGGCGCTAAATGCTGCAATTATAGAACATGTGTGAGTTGTAACACAAATTCAGCATTTCGAAGATCAAATGTGTAACAATACTTCATGTATCCATACTACGCATTTTGATATAATCATCAGTGCAAACTGACTAAACAATATAACCCAGGCAAATTAAACTTGTACTTGTAGCTCCTAAAAATTGGGAGAAAGCTGTAAATCGTTTTAATCTGCTCTGAAGATCCTAAATAAGTTAAAAATTACTTTGCGACGGATTCTGATGTGAGCTAAGTGTATGGAAGGTAAAAAGCTAGGCCGATTTTGCTCACTTTTTAGTTTTTCGCTGTTAACTAAAAAACAGTGCATCCCACAAAAAAAGTGTTTCATACTTTTCTAATGAACATTAAATTCAGCATCGAATGACGTTAAAATCATTAAAATAGTTTCAGTCATTCTGCTACAACAGATCGTCAATTTCATTAATTTTAACCGAAAACTATAGCATACACTGCCATCTGGCGGAACTCGCTGTAATTTTCAGTAATAGGATGACAAGGAGAATGTTACAATTACTGAACTTTGACGACCTCTTGTATCAGAACGACTAAACTAATTTTAACGTCATTCGACGCGGAATGTAATGTTCATTAGAAAAGTATGTAAACTCTTTTTTTGTGGGATGCATAGTTTTTAAATTATAAGCGAAAAACTAAAAAATGAGCGATTTCGGCTTATTATTTTGCCTCCCATACACTTAAGCTCACTTTGGAATCCGTCGCAACCTCATTTTAATCTTATTTAGGATCTCCAGAGCAGATTAAAATCAGTGTCGTCAGTGTTTCATATGAGTGTTCACCGTACACCGTTCATCGTTCACCGTTCATCCTTCGCCGTTCACAGCTCATCGTACACCGTTCATCCTTCGCCGTTCACAGTTCATCGTTCATCGTTCATCCTTCGCCGTTCACAGTTCATCGTTCACCGTTCATCCTTCGCCGTTCACAGTTCATCGTTCACCGTTCATCCTTCGCCGTTCACAGTTCATCGTTCACCGTTCATCCTTCGCCGTTCACAGTTCATCGTTCACCGTTCATCCTTCGCGGTTCACAGTTCATCGTTCACCGTTCATCCTTCGCCGTTCACAGTTCATCGTTCACCGTTCATCCTTCGCCGTACAGCGTTCATCGTTCACCGTTCATCCTTCGCCGTTCACAGTTCATCCTTTGCCATTCGCAGTTCATCGTTTACCGTTCACAGTTCATCGTTCACCGTTCATCCTTCGCCGTTCACAGTTCATCGTTCACCGTTCATCCTTCGCCGTTCACAGTTCGTCGTTCACCGTTCATCGTTCACCGTTAATCCTTCGCCGTTCACAGTTCATCGTTTACCGTTCACAGTTCATCGTTCACCGTTCATCCTTACCCGTTCACAGTTCATTGTTCACCGCTCAGCCTTCGCCGTTCACAGTTCATCGTTTACCGTTCACAGTTCATCGTTAACCGTTCATCCTTCGCCGTTCACAGTTCATCGTTCACCGTTCATCCTTCGCCGTTCACAGTTCATCGTTCACCGTTCACAGCTCATCGTTCACCATTCATCCTTCGCCGTTCACAGTTCATCGTTCACCGTTCACAGTTCACCGTTCTCAGTAATGGCCGCCATTTTGAAATTTGATGAGTCTGATCAAAGATATTTTCGGAGAATGTTTAGACCTGTAGTCTTAAGTCTATACCAAGTTTCATGAAAATATCTCCAAGGGCTTTTGAGTTACGAATTGTAAACAAAATACAAATTGGCGGATTACGCCTAAACTAAGCCGAAATCGAAAAAAAGTTATTGTACATTTTCGACTTATGTAAATTTGAATAGCACGCAACGCTTTACTGAAACACCCTGTATTTACTCGCTTGTTTTTACTATTTTAATTTACTGTTTTAATTTTGTTTTTATGAAATTATAAATTAGTGACAGCCATTATGAAAGCCGTTTAAGCCTGAAATTGACATTTTAAATGTGTAAATAACTCCAATGCCGACACTGAAAATGTACTATTTTTTTTTTATTTTGCCATATTTATTATGAACGAAAATGACAGTAATTACTACTATTGTTTTATTAGATGGTAGTTACTGTTTTGCAGAAAATCTCTGATATATTATTGGATTAAATTTCCATTGATGTCAAAAGCAATATATTATTTTACTAGTATTGAAAAAATGTTAATGTTAAATTTGATGAATATAGCTATTGAGCGTGTATTACGCCATGAGTTATGACTTTAAACGGCGCAAATTATATTTAGTCAGATAAGTACACACCTGGCATGCAATTAATGGCAAATTATTACCAGCAAAACTACATACAGAGATCCAACTGCATAGTTGTGAATGGTTCAACCCATCATTCTTTGCCATGGATTTAATACTGTGGTTTTCCATGGTTTTAGGACCATTTCTGGTAAGATCTTATCTGAATCTACTTATATGTATTAATTGTCCTTTTCATAATTTCTAATAAGTGTGTAATTTAAACAAATGTTTTCATGTGTTTTTATTGTTTACTAGCAGATTACTCGTCCTTCGCACAGGGTTCCAATATTCATTAAATCATACTCTGTTATTTAGATAGTCATTTCAAAACTTAGGTAACAACTCGTAGAATATATAATGTGTGAGTGTGTGTGTGTGTGTGTGTGTGTGTGAGAGAGAGAGAGAGAGAGTTCAGAGCAACTAGAAAGATTCTCAGAATATTTTAACTTTAAAATTTTGCATAAGGCAGAATTCGTCCAATGCATCCAATACTATAATTTTCCTACCCACGACTTCAGTATTGTTTAGTCTTCTAGTTCGAGTGTGACATTTAAAGAAGTTGTCATTGACAGAAATTTGAAGTTTTCTGGACACATCGACAAAATTGACAACCTATTTAGTTAGTAATTGCTTTCTTTGTTGTCTCTCCTGATACTTTAATACTTCCCAACAAAATGGGAACCGTATAAAGTAGGTATTTTAAGCCAAGTATGAATGGAGATGAGTGTATCAGACAGACGTATCCTTCTGACAGCTTATAGGCTTGTTTACCCCTTTTCATGATGTGTAAATGTATGGGTCAAAGATATCTTTAAAACAGTTTCCTCATTCAAAAAATGTTACGATAAGAATACAATATATCAATTTCTACTCACATTGAATGAATCGTGACTTTAAATCTCGTACCCAGAGGTGGTCAAAACGACATTTAATATTTTAGACCAATTTTAAAGAATCTAAATTTGTTTTGAAAAAAATTGCAGTTGATAAAGTCTATTTAACTATGTGACCTAGGTTTTTCTGGTTTTGCCTTAACAATATCAGAAATAGCACGGTTAAATAATGCCAATTATTAATAAAGCCACATGCTTTTATTTCAGTTATGTTCTGTCCTAAACAAATTGAACGCTTTGATGGTTTAATGCAACACTACACGGCAATCAAACCAGAGGATAATGTGAAAGATCGTTTAATGCAGCACAAAATATCATTCGGAGACAAAAATTTGGTTGTTAAATGCGTACAAGATGACAAAGAAGCTACGGTGTATATATACGCCCCAGAAGGATACTTGGTAGATAGAGTGAAGATGGAACTCCGTAAAATTGCATGCAATAATGTGAAGGATCGTATAAGTCTTCGTCGGAATCCGCTTAAGTTTAAGGATAAAGAAGAGTTATCATTCACTTTGCTGTACAAGTTTGGTGAGGGGGAGGATGTCATGTGCATCCCTAGGTTTTACACGCTTACCACTTTTGAAGACTACTATGCCAAATTGAAGAGAGATCGCCCACAACAAATATATTGCGAAGATGAAATGATGAAAGTAAGTTTAAAATTGACTTCTTGATCAACTTTGTACGTTTTATTAAATTACCTTAAAAACACAAATATATACGTCTATTTACACTTGTAATAGCCTAATATATATTTACACTTATACTATTGACTCACAGGACAGTAAATACATATCAAAAATGGTAAGTGGTGATCGATTTCGATTGACTCCAATCATCAGCATCAGACCCAATAGGCGAATTGGGTCATCATTATTCGCCTATTGGGTCTGATGCTGATAATTGGAGTGTCCAATCGAAATCGATCACCACTTTCCAGTTGTTATATGTATTTACCGTCCTGTGAGTCAACAGTATAGGTGAAAATAGTTTTATTCGATGTATATAATTTTGTTTTTCAGTTTTAAATTATGCGTCATATGACCACAGACAAGTATAGTACAGAGCGGACATGCAATGGTACACTGAAGTCTTAAGTGGTGTCTAGCACTAGTGCTGGTGTGTAGGGCAAAGTCCAATCCCACCCCATGATATCATGCTAGGATTACCCTGTGCCCTATATATTAGGAGTTTCTGCACAGAGTGCTCTCTGAAAGCACACGGTAGTCCTACAAGGGTGTTTTCTCTGTCCCGTAGTTCTCTGTGATATAACTAAATAAAGCTAAGCAAAACCATTTAACTTAAGCAAGCACTTAAGCCAATCCTGCAAAGAAGTCTTCAGATCTCACAAAGTTCTCACTGTCCCATCCATTTACATCTTTGTAACTTTATAATTAATTATGAAAACCCAACCATCCTACAGCTCTTCAAGCATCCATAGTTATCCTCTTCGCTCAAATTTCAATCTTTCATTACCGGCACTCAACCCCATTCTTCCAAAAGACTTTTACTTCAATGCAGTTTTTTAATGACGTCACTTTCCCAATGAAAGTCCAACAGTACCTCGGAAAATATAGAAAGTCCATCTTGATAGGTAACATTTGCTACAGACAGCGTACGTTGATTGTTTGGCAACAGGTTGGTAATCTTATTATCCTGGAGGCACATTATGAATAAAAGTTTAAGTCTTAGATTAAGTAACAGTAAGTTCAGATCAAATTCCATACTTAAGTATATGGAAATATGAATATGTAGAAGGAAATGGGTCAAGAAATTCTATTTTTAACAATATTTATATTTGGTTAAATCCCTATAAATCCCTCGTACCGAAAATTGTCATTCAAGTTTTGCATATTTTTCAGGGGGATGCAGAAGATTATATAAGTAAGTATTTAGCAAAAACATTATAGCACTTCTAGCCAAACTAGATTAAAAATAAGCATATAAATCAGTTATTGTGTTATTAAACATGTTGATTTGTTTAATGCAATCCAAATATTACCAGTACTGTTAGACATTGCATTACGACAAAACCAGCTTATGTTGGTATCCCTGTTTTCTTTTTTCTTTGCGCGATCTTGTAGTCTTGTTAGTGACTAAGGTCTACATGTTCCTTAGACACAGCTGTTAATTAATAGCCCATACAGCTAATGGCAACTAAGACACCTACAGATTATAGTGGAGTCCGAACCATATTTTTTCCTTGTAATTAAAGAATTGGTCTAATTATCACGATAGTACTGCGAATAATTGTAGTACTCACTACGGTATGAGAAGATTATGTGACGAATGCTTGGAAAGAATTATATATACTTATCATACAATTTAAAGGAAAAAATGAAAAATGGAATTAAGCTAATTTGTTAATAAGTAAATGTTGACTCCGGTTGTACTTTTAGAGACTTCTTGTCCATCACTTCTGACTAGCCAATTGGATGTAAGTATGAGGCTATCGAGGTTCTTGCCATTCGACTGTTGGGTCTGATCATGATTGGAGTGTCCAATCGAAATCTATCACAACTCACCATCATTTGTATGTATTTACTGTCTCTTGAATCAATAGTATGAGCGTAAATATATTTAAAAAATTATCTACTTGTAGTACATTTAATAACACGTTAAATTCTTATTAATAATTTATTTATTAATTGTTCCAATAAATTTACTGTATTTCATAGAAGAAAGAATGCTACCATGGGGAGATTACGAAATCATGGATTTGGTCACAGATGCTAACCCTGTTGGCGAGCCTTCCTTAAAGACTTTAAAAGCCGACTCAAACCTCAAGCTCAAGTGCCAAAAATACATCAAGAAAGAAAAAACAACAGATGGATCCATCCAATCAACTCCCATTGCAGTTGGATATATAACTTATGAGGGTTTAATCTTAGAAAAGTTATTTCTAGACTCTTGTCCAGATGAAGTTGAAGGGATGTACATCAACCGCCTTCCGAAGCCAATACCAAATAAACATTTATTCGATATCTCCTTTATAAAAGATAACGAATTTATACTTGTCTTCAAAACCAAAAAAGGATCATGTTTTAAAATATTCATTGGTTATCGGTTGAGTTTCAATAAAGACACAGCTACGATTCACCGATTCGATCATCAGAAAGTCAGTTGTCCACAGGATTGGACCAGTGACGCAGCTTTGAACGTGAAAGGATCATGGTTCTAAAACTATGATGACTGATTTGTACATCTTAAATACATGACTCATTGACATTATTGGCTTATTTATTAACCTAGGACCTAGGGACCTAGGTCCATATTCCTATATGTCCCTGTTGGATGAGGTCGAACAAATTAGTATCATGGGTCGCAGGGAGGATTGAAAGGAGCTCTATCCCTCCACACAGCACATCTGGGCTCCTCTGCGCCTATTCCCACCGAAGACAACCCCAACCAACCAGCAACAACCAACAACACCGCAAGTTACCAGTGGCAGTTTCTAGGACCATGTCAAGGGGGGGCTAACAGGGTTGTCCCAAAACAGGAGGGGGGTTTTGGGGGTCCTCCCCCGGAGAATTTGCTATTTTGAAGCCGTTTGGTGACGTTTTAAAGCCATTTTCAACCTCTATAACTGTATCTAAAAACTTGACGTTGCATTTATATTTTGAAATGTGTGTTATTTTGATTAATATTTCAAGGGTCCAAGGGGGGGCTTTAGCCCCTATAGCCCCCCCCCCCTTGGAACCGCCACTGCAAGTTACAACCTTGTTTTAATGCAATAAATATCACTATTCTTCAAGGACTAAAACTGTAATATAGACTGTGATAATATATTAGGGATAACAAATTTCTGCGGTCCATATTTTGATAATGTTACTTAAACTAGTTGTTCTGCCGAACGCAGAGAAGATACTCATGTTGTGATTCTCTGAAACAAAATAGGATAATTACATTCACATAGGTAGCTATAGCTATATCGCTATCAGCTATAGTCAGAATTACATACT